CAAAGGGAAAGTGAAGTTAGTCTTTATTTCCACAGGGTGGCCCACTCAGCTCGAAGGCTGGTATCCATAGAGGCCCTGAAACAAAGTTATCAATCAAAAATATTTCAACATCTGGAAAGACTGGACTGTAACTTTGGGAAGCAAAATGGATCATGCACGATGTACTCGACCAAATTACTGTCTCACTGCTGCAGAAGTGCGCAAGAGTCACGCCAGTTTCAAAAACTTTTCATTTCACTTGTTCTAGTTAATCCAAATCAAAGCCAGGCCCTTATTATCACTTAACAACAACTGCAGAGCAAGGATCTATTTTAACGTATCGTCTTACCAGCAACTAAACCGATCACCAAAGTATTTGCTCCAAGCACTAATGCCTTGAACAGGGCCGTGTCTGTGTACGCATCTGTCGAGCCTGGGAGATTCTCGGCGGGTATTCTGCTGACAGCTCCGACGCCCAAGTTGACGATAGTAACAGACAGTGAAACTACCATCAATCGGTTCTCGACTACGTCTCGTATGGGACTGATAAAAGCAAATAGCATTCCGTACATCCCAGCGATTACCCATGCCAGACCAATGTAGGACCTGCTCTCTTGTCCCACTAGAATGAGACCCGATGTGAGGATTAGTTTTCGACACATTTCGACCAGTTCCCAAAACCAAGAACGAGGTTTGTAGTTTTCAAAAAGGAAGCGTAATCCTGCGATCATTTCCGCGCTAGCGTTTGGATTCTGCGATTTCTTGTCGCGTCCTGTAGCCATTATCATTCTTCGTTCTCTCCAAAGGGCAATGAATGAAGCGGCTGGAAGGATAATGATGTAGGCGGTGGAGATGTATCCCAAGATAAGTAAGTTGTCGTACTGTGGACCTTGGCATCGTACGCTGTAATCTGCTTTCAGGTATTTGAAACAAAGTTCCTCTTTCTCATCGCGGCAAAGTTTCCGACAAGCAAATGGGAGGACATTGGCTGTTTTGGTACAGGTGCTGAGATACGTAACGTACAAAATGAAAAACAGATTCCTGTACACAAGCTCTTTGGTCTGGGAGAGTCTACTGGACTTTTCTTCCTCGCCAATGTCGCTGTTTCTTAAGATGATGACTTTACGCACTCCGTACGCGGCGCCTGAAACACCAATGACAAGAGCATTTATGGCCATCATTGCAAATATGCTACCAAACGCATTCACTCGAAATCCCGAAACTAAGCAGTCAATAGGTGCTATCTGAAGGACATTCATTTGGAGTATTTCGGAATATTGGGCGATAACTTCCATGGAATCTGGCCACTTAATGTAGGAGAACGCTTCCAACAAACCGTAAGTGACCTGATAAAATCCAATAACAATCTTAAGTTTAGAAAAGAACATGTCTATTAGAGTGCGCCCTTTGTCCTTTTTAACTTTTCTTTTGCTCGCTGACCACGCCAAGCCTACCACAATAATCATTAAAATGGCCACGACGATGGATAACTGTCCCAGTATCCACCTCTTTGATGGACATTTTTTGCAGGTTTGTAATTGCTTATAATGTCCTTTACTGCAAACAGCACAGAGTGGACCTTCGTAGCCAATGTCGCAGGGAGAATCCAGTTCACCTCCGCAAGATTCCTCTCTTGGACACTTGTATGGCGTTGGTATAGGATGAGGGAATTGCACATCATCAACACCTAGTGTTGGTAAGGTTGCCAAAAGATTTGTTATAAATTCTTTTTATCGATCTTTGTGCGTCGTATTACGCCATTCCCACCAGTAACCAGACTTTAAAGACGCAAAATCATCTTGGCATTTCAGTCCACCTAAGCCACATTTTTCACATTTGTCGAACATATGTGTTCGATAAAATCCTGCCAAACATTTGCAACCACGATATCCAGCAAAGAAATCAGTATCTGTTCCTGTGAGAGAGTCAAGACGAGCCATAAGAGGTTCAGGGAAGAAAACCGCATGTTTTAGTAAATAAAAAGGCTTGAACGTGTTTTGTTCTCTCATAAAGCACGCCAGGAAGTGAGTAGAGCAACACAAAAGTGTAGAGTATCGAAGCACGATTCTTGACGTCACTTCCTTGCTTTATAACAGACCAAAGAAAGGTCATACGATCAAGCCTTTTCTATTTGTTTTATATTGAAGCTGTTCATCTGTGGTGAGAATGACTTCAAACGAGTATTACTCAAGTGGTTCCGTATTAAATAAAAATAAATAAAAGACTTTATTTACCCTGAAAGGCCAATCAGTGATCACTGGATCACTGGTATTAACTGGCGATCAGCATTTACATATAAAATACAGCTATTCATAAAATTGTACTTAAAAAAAAAACAAGAAGATATATATACTAAACATTTACATTAAAAGTTACAACCATTCTGGAGATTATGTAAAAACAAGCATTTAAAAAGAAGAGCAACAACAACAAACAAACAAGCAAAAAATTGAACCATTATGTCGTTACGGATCAGTGCACTGGACTACATCAGCAAAATCTTTTGTGTTGTGTTTTAAAACCATGCTAGAGGACGTGGATGCAACACTACAACTCAAGATGAGCCCGGGAATCCACTACATAAATTATCCTTCAAACGGGACATTCTTAAACTGACGTACCCGTACATGAAATAGATACCACACGAGTTAACAGCAAACTACAATTTTATATTGATTGCAGGAGCTATAATCGGGGACGGAGACCGTAAGTCTCGGGGTCCGCGCGCACCTATGATATGGGACAATTTTTCTATTTTTAGAACAAATCGCGTCATCCTGACGTCATATATCCGCGCGGATCCACGCACGTGTCAGGGGTTCTCGCGTGGATGTTGTCACGTTGCATGANCTAAAAAATAGAAAAATTGTCCTATATCATAGGGACAGCCCCAATACTAGAAATAGCGCGCGCTTACGGTCTCCGTCCCCGATTATGGCTCCTGATTGATTGTTTATACTTTGATTGATTGTTTATACCATGGGGACAAGACTTGCAATCTTGCGTTCGTGTTCCTGGTGCTTTGTCATATGCTACAAAGGAACCATTTGGACACCTCTTGCAGTTTTCAGCCACGTGGCCGAGATTGTCAGAGTAAAATCCACCTGTAAAAGATTTACAGTGTATTCTGAACTTACGAAATAAAGCAGACATAAGGCACTCATTGAAGGGGTTTTGCACTCGCGGTTTTGACTGAATAGTTAGGATGCATTCCAGGGATCCTTCGTCTGTATATTTCTTGAAGGTACGTATTTTGGAAGGTGGATATTTTATCCAGGGTTTGAGCTCTACCTATCAACCGATATTTTTATGCGCCCTTGACCGGGTTTTACTCCGGTCTGCACTTACTGTGGGCTCATTCCACTCCCATAAAACTCTGAAGACAAGCTCTAGATAATCCTAGTCACACAAGCAATTTAACTGAAGAGTAACAGTAACCTGGGGAACACGGCGTGCATCCATCTTTTCCTTTAGATGTCGTGTTTGAGAACGTTCCCACTGGACATGGTAGAAAGGAATGATAAATGTCATCCGTAAAGTTGTTAGGTATCCTGGTGAATCCTGAAGCCATGAGAGCGGAAACGAAAGCTATACTTCGCTTTGATTCTGGACTATAGACTTTGATAACTTCTGCATCAGAATTGAGAGGATTCCTGGAAGAGAGCAAATCTTAATGTAAGAATTAACATTTATTGAAATTAAAAATTTGTTTTGAGAAACTTTTACCGGGGTTGTCTTAACAAGTAACCTGAAACTACAAATTTTATAAAGCATCTTTGTATTGTAGATGTCATAGCAGCCATGTAGTTAGTGATACATCTGTGTCATCTTTAGCCTGCGTAGCTGGCGGTTTAGTTGGTTGGGGTATGACGAAGCTGCGAAAGGCCTGAGGGAAAAATGAAAAAGGCCTTTTGTTTCTTCCACCCCAACTAAACCGCCAGCTACGCCGGCTATATCATCTTGAAAGAATTTTAATGTCCGTGTTATATACTGTTGCGAACGCATACGCTTTCGGTGCAAAATGCATACTCCAAACCAATTCCATCGAAACCTCACCACTATTTAAGATTTCTAGTTGTAATTGATTAAACGGAATCCGTTTCTCTCCATGATAAACAACTATTCATTCCTGCTGTGAAAGAAGTAACGTACAGATAAATTGTACAGTTCTGGCCTAGAGAAGAACGATATCTGAGTGTTCCAGCTGTTCTATCCTTTATCACCCTGACAAAAAGAAGTTTAAGCATCGGATAATCTGAGTATATATTCACAACTAAAACGATTTAATTAAATACAACTCAGAAAAGTATCAAGTCGTCACGTGGACAATGCAGTGATTGGAAGTTTACAGGCTTCCTCTTTTAACTCAAGCATGACAAAAGATGAAACAACAAGTCTTGCTATTTCTAAAGATGAATATAGTTACAAGTCATACCACCATGGCACTGGTTTATTTTCTTACATAACCTATTATGTTTAGGAGGAAAGACAAGTCTAATATTTATCATTGCTGTTTGGGTCAGTTTGTGATAAATATGATACATCACAGTTTAGAATCTAGCCCACGAAGCCCTGTAAATGATTCGACGCTCAGTATCTTCAGTTTCGTCCGTAGCAAATATCTATAAGGGAAAAAGGTAAGCAATGCACAGGAAAGAAAGTGAAAAGAAAAGAAATATCACTCAAGTGAATCAAATCACGGTAATCGTATTTTTGAAATTAATAGCTTGATACAGCTCCTGTCTGAGCATCATCAGTTTTATGCAACCTCACGTTTAATTACCTCAGGGATTGAACATCATGTTATTGTAATTGCCTTTTTCAGCTCATTTAATGGTACTTCGAAAACGCTTTTCTTCTTCAGTTGCATCTGCATCAGTTATTTCCCACAATAACTCGCGGAAGTACACTCACTCATTCGGTTGGAAGCTTTTAGAGAAAATACCGGGTTCAAGGGCGAGCAACACCAAACAAAAAGTCCATTGATTTAGGAAATGTTACATGGTTAAACAGGTGGAATCTTTACACAAGTCAGCTGACTATATAAAACAATTGATTTTCCCTTTAATTTAGCATATGCCAGGTGTGGCTGTGATGGAGCGAGGGACTGTCAGAACAACGCAACACAAGGACACTGGTGGGATTGAGGCCACGTTCACTGGGGTCCAACAAACTATCGTTTTGGCCATTCACGATAACTTCTAAACCGAGAAAAAGCTGGAAGACAACTTGTACTCATAAATTAGAAATTTTCGAATTCTTTTTAACAACGTAATAACTTGATGGTGTGAAAATTTACTTATATCCTTTGCTAAAACCAGGTCAACGCAATTTTCCGTATTTTAGATTTTTCCGTTTGGTGTCTACTAAGACAGCTAGAAATATCTGGAAACAGCTTGATCTTCAAAATTGCTTTACAAGTATTTCTTCTAGTTTGACCTAGCATGACCTTTCTTGTTTCAAGGTGTTCAATCATATCTGATTATATTGAGCCCCACTGACAGGAAATGTCTTCATAGGGTCGTTTTGGGATTGCTGGCAAAGACAAAGTTAATCACGAAAGATCTAATGACTTATTTTAAGTCCTAACTTACATATTTAAAATACCACCACCGTAAAGCTTAAAAGACTCCGGCTCAATTGTCTTTATAGGGTTGTCTGACAGCATTCTTACAAGAAAAAAACAGGACAAGATTCAGACGACTTTTAAAAGAAGAGTTGTAATGATCATTTGTTCCACTCCCTAATACCTCACGCACGACCCTGACAAATTTTAGTAAATATAAATATAAATATAAAATATAAAAAAATATATAGAGCAATGAAATTAAAAACGTGCTACCGTTAGGCCAGCCATCGAAAGGTTTTGTTTTTTTCTTTATTTATAACTTTACGGTCATCACTGGACGGTGAACGTTGCTAGAATAGCAAAACCTTCTTTCACTAGAATAACAAGACTGTTTCCGATGAACATAGGGAGAAACAACTACATGTACATCAAGGACCGAATATTATATGGTTTTCTACATATAACAAGGTCTCTTCTTGAGAAATCTCTCTGGAAAAAGACACATTTTGGCATCATTCACGCGATCTCGAACTGGCAAATTTTTCAAGTAAATGATTGATAACAAAAAAGTGTAACCTATCATAGGAAGATTGATATAGTCTTTTTATTATTTTGGTTTATTATTATTGTTGTTGTTCATTTTTTTGGAGTTGGGGAAGAAAATCCAAGAAGCCTATCGATAAATTTATACTCTAGCAAGCTATCACTATGATTGTTTGGAGAAATGAGTAGGTCTTAGGGGTGGGCAGCCTCTCCGAGGCTCTTGGCGTTAGTCTGCTTACACCTTTACCAGGCCAAAATGTTATATTTAGCTGTGCTTTTTTTTTTTTTTTTCAAGATTTAACTTTTTCAATCAATGTTATTTTGTAAAGGGATTAAAACCGTAACGCCCAGTAAATAGCACAGTCAAAAGACATCACACAAGGGAGGGACAAAAAAACTTATACTGTGGCTAGCTATCGCCATTGCTTGGAGAATCAGTTGTTCTTTAGTCAAGTCATTAAATAATTCCTTTGCATTGGAGATGCATGCTACTATTTGTCTTTTTATGGTTACTTGTTTAGTATTATTTAGTTTCACAATAAATTTTGAGGTCACGCAACTTTTGTGCTAACAGAAAGTTAAGGCCATCTATTAAAAACAGATATTACTGATAGTGGCATATATTTTAGATGCGCTGAGAGAGGGATTTAAATCCAAGCCCTTGTAATGATGCTTTCCGCTTCAACAACGCCGCCTTCTCTACTTACATTACCGCAAGATTCTCCAGATTAAAGAAGGCTCGATGTGGAATAGTCTCAAGTCGGTTGGCGCTCAGAAATCTACAATTAAAACGGGGAACATAGCACTGTTAGTAGCTAGAACTCTTGGGGTTAGGAATAGTTCTGGAAACGCATCTACTTTGAGTTGACAATTAGGAAATTAAGGTATAATATGACCTATTGAAAGTAGTCGGAAAAGCCAAAACAAAAGCAGTTGCAGTATGTCCAATTGCAACACTGCACCTAACCAATAAAAACACGTAAGAGAGACTCGTTACCTCCGCTACGTACAGGAAAATGGAAAAGACCAAGAACGCTTGAACGTCCACAAATTCCGAAAATTTTGGAAAGGAAGCGAAAGGTACAGAAATACCCTGGGAAAGTTTCGGGAAAGTTCGAAAAACCTCTTCAGTTTCCGAAATGCGAGCCATTCAACCAAAGATTCAGGAAATTCTTGAACGAAATCAGCTGGAATGACACTGCGGAAATACGTTTTTTGACGTCACCGTAACTGGTCAGTGGTCATCACTATCAGGCTGTGCTGTCCTTCGATCGATCAGTTCTCCGAGATCAGTATTTTGGTTCGTTTTAAGGTCGAAAATATCCTTGATACTTCTCGTTATTGGTGA